AATCAAATGATCAACGTCTATCGTCTTACATTTACAATTTTATTGTAAATGAACTTTAATTAAAGCATACAGTATATAAATTCATATACATATCATATTTAGCTAATTATTATGAATAAATCAAAGGTATACATAACATAAAAATCATTGGGAACGTTGCCAGTAAAATCAAGTCATGAGATATAGTAAATCATATGATCCGTAATGTACTGGCAACGTTCCCAATAGAAACTGAGTGGGTATTGTTTCAAATGTTGTCTTAAAAAAAATGAATTCAGGAAAAATTTATTTAAAAGATTAAAAATTTATTATTAGCTTATTATATTCTTTATTTCAAGCATCTTTCTGTTACTTCTTTTTCCTTTATGTTCTTTCCTTTGACGAATTGACGACGTAAAATCGGTTTTAATGACTTTATTCAATCGTTCTTCAACAGATGATTCAGTACTCATCTTTCGCTTAAAACAACCAGTTGTTTCATCAGAAGAGAATGGTGATAAACTTCGCCTATTTTTACCAAGAATTTCTTCAATTTCGGAATTATACCGAAGTTTTGAATTATTCTAAATTAAAAAAAAAATTTTCATAATTAAGAACGAATGTTAAATATTTTAATTAAGAAAATAAATTTTACATTGTAATTCTGCTTGCAATTCTTTTTGAAATTCTGTTTAAGATTTTTCCACTTAATCGCACATTGGTAGGCAGAATAATTGTAGCCACTTTCGCGTAGAATAGTGTAGGCATTATTCCAGAGCGTTTCTCTAACTTCACTAGCTATAATACCACGACTTTCCAGTTGTACTACTTCATCTTTATTGTCTTTTAAGTATGCTAGCAATGATTTAATGGCATCTTCATTCCATTTACATGGAGGTTCATTATTTTTCCCAGCGAAGTTAGCTTCACTATCATCAGATTGGGAACTTTCACTTTCATTAGTAGTAGCGTTAAATTCACGTGTATTCGAATCTAAAAAAAGGTAAATAGATTAAATTAACCAATGATACAAGCCGGTTTATTACACAAAAAGCGTCGCGTTAATTTACTTTGATCAAAATTTTCAACTACAATTCGACAACTAGTGCCTTTATCTTCCGTTTGGTTGTAATTAATTGCGTATTGATTGTAGGCATCAGAAAATTCAATGGTATAAGGTCTTTTTAACAGATTATTAGCAACCAAAGAAATCGGAATTGTTTTGCAAGTTACTTTATAAATCTTTTGGTTTTGACGTGTATTGCAATCAGGAAGATTTTCTTCACAAGTGATATGAAACATGTGAAAGTCATTGCTATAATAGAACTCCTGGTTTGGCGAGGAAGAACTAAGTGCTGTTTGATTCATCGTATAGAGGTTAAGATCAATGCCATTCATATTTAATAACGTAATAAGTGGATTTAATACTTGAAGCATATTGGTACAGATTTTTATATCCGTTAAAATGTCGAAGGTGATGTTGCCATAAATATAGCGGTAATTGTTAAGTTCTGTTTGAATTTGTAATTGAATATGTATTTGAAGTTGAGAAGAATTCATTTTGTTTGAAATAACGATGAATTTGAATAATAATATCATTTCAATAATTTCGCGTTTTATATAAAAGATATGCCATTGTTTTTATTTCCTAATTCGAAGTAAACAGAAATGCTTGGGTTTAATTATTATTAAAGAAATAATTTGGAAAATAATGCATCAAGCCTTTCTAGTTTATTTCACAAAGTTTTTTAACAATCAGTAGCATCAAATCCAAATCGTTAATTTTGCATGAAGATCTACATCAGTTAATATTGGGTTATGATCTTCACAAACGGAGAAATGAATTCCGTTAGATGTGATGAACGGAGAAATACTCCGAACGTTAAAGTCATATGAGCATTGAAAATAATCAAAATTAGCATCATCAATATTATAATAATCATCATATTGGATCCGATAAAATTAATCGCATTTCAATTGTTTGTTACCTTTTCAAATTGATTATCTAACAATGTGAGTATGACAAATTTATACATTGCCATCCTAATCGAGTGTAATGTTGAATGGCAGCGTTAAAACTAATGTCTATCCTAACGTAGTTTCTTTTTAACATTCCTCAATAGATATATCCAAATAAAAATCAGATGAAAATGATTCTCAATTAGGATGTTAGAATCGACAACAAAACTCTTTATCCTAACCATAATACAACAATTGGAATATATATATGTCCAATTGGATGTCACGGATTATTTACCGATTAGGGATCGCAACGGAGCCGTAATACCTGTGATATCCGACGATTGAGCGATAAATAACTAACGCCCGTGATAAAAAAAATTTGAATGTATAAATCACGTGTTATTGACAATAAAAAAACTTTTCTTTAATAATCATTTTTTTTTTTTTTACAAATTTTCCCAAAAAAAAATTTAAAAAAACGATTTTGGTCCTTCGCTTTTTAAATTGAGGAAAAAAATATTTTAAATCCATTCTAATTCTAATTTGATTAACTTTCGACGTATGTGTTGAAAATATACATAAAATACCAAATGATCATCAAAATCCGAAAAGTCACAAGAAATTAATGGATCAATGCAAGCAATGCAACAACATTCGAGATTACAATATATACATCCATTACAAATGTTTCAAATTACAAATCATAAAAATCATAATCACAAGATTTATGCTTCCTAATATTAGTTTTATTTAGCCCATGATTACAAAACATTTAAAATAAATCCTTTTATTATGGTTAAAATTATGCATGTTAAATAATTTCCAGGAAGATTTTCAAATGATATATCTTGGTATGATGAAATATTGATATTTCTTGGACAATTCAACTCCGTTAGTGAATCCAGTAAAATATCGATACGGGAAACAATTAGTAAACGGAGAATATGCCTTCAAATGCAACGAACTTACTAATATAACACTATGTGCTTGTTGGGATTATGAACCGTCGAGATTCTGACTGTCGAAAAGTGGTTGTTGAGATCCCCAAAGAGATTGACAAATACTTTACTTTTTAAGAAAGAAAAAAAATTTAGTGTCAAGAACGGGTTTTTTTATGATCTATGCTATTATGGTAGAACTCAATATTATAAAAGAATACATAAATAATTTAGTCTGTTATAAAATAATAGTTCATAAATAAATTGTCTTGCTAATTTATTAGGACCGACTTATCCCTCCGGTACTTATTATATTTACTTTGCTTTACATAAGATAGATATAAAGAAGCTGTCATTATCTCCTAAAAAGACGAGAGTTTATTATTATAACGAGAATGATATTTTACAATGAAGGTGATTTAAAATTCTTCCTTAAAAAGATCATTTCATCAAGGCTGGTTGAAGTTGAAACATCGAAAGGGAAGAAATGATATAAATCCCATTCCCATATCCCATTTCTAGAAATAATGATTATTATTTTAATATCATCCGACATTATTTTAACAATTAAACAGAATTAATACATGCTCATTAGGATTATGCGAAATTTTATGTACCGATATTTTTTGCACTAATCCTAATATCACGGATATTTATAATATTGTTATTGAAAGGTCTATATCGGTCTTAGACCGATATTTTAACGTCCCGTTCAATAACATTCTAATATTGTACGGGTCGTATTTACATTGGTTAACGTCACTTCGTGACATTAACCAATATAAATATAACACCGTACAATATCCATAAATTATATAATACCACGGCATTAATTATAAAAGGAAAGAACTACATAAATATCTTTGGTTTTTTTTTTTTTTTATATATTTCGAGTTCCCAAAAATGTTTAAAGGTCAAATTCCCAATTTTTTTTTTTAATTTAAACACATGAGATTTGAAATGGGACTTGGAATAGAAGTGGGTTGGAATGGGATTTTATGGAAAATTCGGTTTTGAATTTTTTTGAAAAAAAAAATATTATAGCTACGTTCGGATCGTTCAGAGTTTACCAAAATTGGTCAAAATCGATCGGTTGCCGTTGACCAACCGATATCGGACCACGACCGGTCGTGGGCGTGACCTAACTTTAATGAAACAATCTAAAAAGGAGTAATAGTAATACTTCCTTAGTTTAGTATGTTAACAGCATAATATTAATTACGATTGTTAAACTTTATCTGATAATTAAGCTAAAACGCTATATTATTCAAAAGATGAAATGCGTAATTTTAATGAACAGGTAAAAAAAGACTGTGTAAATAACACAACAAGGTATTTTTTAAAGCCAAAATGCGTACTTCGAGACAACAAATGATGAATCATTGGCTGGCCTGTGAAAAATTAGTAGTATCAGCTGTTTAAATTCTGCCTCCTCCTTAGCCAATTCATATGGCTTGCTATATACAATGGCCGAATCCGTTAGTATTATATTTTTTGTGGTTGTTGATGATATTGACATAAAGAAAACGCCAATCTTAAAGAACCAACCAAAAATATAGAATCGAATATGATTTATATATTGTCTTTTTTAAAGATTTTTCTAATTTTTTTGCTCTTATTATCTTAACATAATTGGAAATATTGCAAACGAGCCTTGAAAGAATTAGAATGAATCAATCGGATTGTTCCGTTACATTGTCCTTCTTTGTATTTAAGAAAGGTAGAAAATTTGCAAGAATTTTTTGCCAATTCTTTTTATCATATCAAAAAAAAAATATATATATATATAATCATGTCGAACGAGAAAATTTTTAATTCCTAAATATTCAGATTTGAATTTTCAAAATTTATTAAGAAACATTTAAAAACATCTAAGTTTCGAAACAATACTATTCCCACTTATGAACAAATAAAATCAATCGTACATCTAAAAGTATGTTATTACACCCTTATGCACATTAAAAAAAAAAGGTTTACCCGAGATATTTGTTGAAATTTTCTCGTGGAAAATAAGCTGCGTTTTAGAAAGACTTTCTTTTAAAAAAATTTTAAAATGGCAAAGTCTACCATCAGAAGAAATATATTCAATATATTCGTAACTCTACTAATAACTTGCTCGTTAGTTATTTGGATTTGTTGTGCTTCTTGTGACGCGAGGAAACGTAATAAACCTTGCACGTTTGTGGTTTTAAGTCTAGGATTTTGTCTATTGTCATATAATAATTCACTGTACATACGGTACAAAACTTGTTCGAAAGTAAGAGCATGTATTAAATTTAGATCATTTTTAAATTTAGGTCCTGCTAGGAAAATTTAATAATGCAAATTTTTTAATTCTTTGCTTCTACTTTCTGTATAATATGTGTCAAATAAAATTTTCATTTTGCACATTCTCTGTGCTTTTGATTGTTCAATTAAATTTGTCCATAATTAGTAATTGAATCTTGTTCGAAGTGTTCAAATATCTCAGTGATAATGAAATTAATATTCAAATATATATGCTGTATATTATAATTTATATAGTTTTTTTAACGTCAGTTCCTAAATGATACTTATTATAGTAAGTATAATAACAGTCAAGTTTATTGTTCGGGACAA